GTGCGAGTCTCTTGCAGATGCCATCGTAGATTCATATCACAACGTCAGTTGAGTCTCGGAGACAAGGATGAGGTAATTCTATTAGGAACCTTCAAAAGTTTTGGTCAGTCCAATATTGTCATGGGATATGGCATAGCGGAAATTGGACAACAATAATTCAGCAATAATGTATCTTCAGCAACACTTAGAAATAATTGTACTTGAAGTTTCAATTTTTGGTGGGGATTAAGCCCCTAGTTCTCTGAAAGAGGAAGTTCAATGAAAATTTTGAGTTGTCATGACAAGGTTTTTTACACTGATCTGAGTTCAGTTCAGTTGTTGCCTCTTACAATCTGCTTTTACGCCATTGATATAAGGACATACACCTCATTAGCGCTTCGACATGCAAACACTTCTCTCTTTCCCATCAGGCGAACAGCCCATGAAGATGAGCTCTGAAGGTGTAACCATGCTGGCGAAATTGTGCTAATGGATACTGATTAAATTGGGTTGTACTTCTCGGCGCAGCCTGAATCTCCATGCTTAATAGTATCTTGGTACCTCTCATGATTCCCTTGTCTTGGGATGGCATGGAACTGTTGCTTGAAGATTTGATGGAGTTGGAGATTTCAGATCCCCTCACTCACCACTTTTAGTCACCACCACACCAGTAGCGACCCCGTCTTGCTGTCAACCCTGTGCTTTTCGACTATCATCTGCATACGCTGAGACCGGAAGTCAGTAAGAGTCACTACAGCTAATGGAACTTATTATTGATTCCCTTTGCTCACAAACAGTTTTCCAGAAAGGTTGAATTCTGGACGTTATGGAAAAGGACAGCGGGCGTCAAATGAGACTTGAGCTCTCTGGAAAATAATGCCAATGACTCTATTTGCTCCCACAAGCTTCATGATCCGAATTTGTGCGACCTAACATTTCCTGGACTAATCATCGAAATGAGAGCAGGCAGAAGCGCGAGCAGTTTACTGAATGTAACTAATTTACAATCACCTAAAAGAAGAATTATTGTCCGCCTGACTAAGACTTTCTTCTGTACAGCGGCATCTCGTTGATGATGTTAGAACATGCACCTCTCTCTCCTATCAAACCTCTCTTTCAACATAAGCTGCGAATCACCTATTGTTATCTATATGCAGAATCTCTCTAGATGATATTGACTAAACCGGTACTTCCTTGGGACGATCGTATCTCCAAAATTATCAATAATCAGAAGGCGGTGGGACGCTGATCGCTAGCTCTTCAGTGTTCCCCCGGGCTCAACAGGTGCAAGAGGAATGAGAGAGGGCTCAACAGGTGCAAGAGGAATGAGAGAGTGCAGCGCATCCGTTATCAGTGGCCGGTAGATCAGTTCTGGTTGCAGACACAAAACAACAACAGCAGCTGCCTACAGATATACTAAAACTTAGATTTTAGTAATGCCAAAACAGTGATACTTAGCACATCGTTTCTTACTTAGATGGTCAAGTTCTATTATAAAGCATGAAGCAGAATTTATCATCATAACCTGTTGACCGCAGATTTCATGATTAATCAACAAGAAAAAGCTGTATTATCACAACCTAAATCATCTTCTGTCCGTATGTTAATACAGTGAAAACTCAAGATGGAAATTTGGAATATTTTACCAACCTTGGCATTGAAGTCAGCATCTAGAAGTATGTTAGCCGATTTCAGATCTCTGTGGATGACTGGCGAGTAGCAATGCTTATGCAGATACTCTAAGCCTCTGGTCAACACAACCCAATTGTTTTAGCTACATATACCATTTGATATAAATAATGAACTTGAAAATCTGAGTGACCCTAGAGTCTTACTAAGCTGTGTCAAGAGCTATTTTCATTCATATATGCCATGTCAATTCTGACCCATTTGAAGTCCCTGATGGATAATTATAATAACAGAAAAAAATCGCTTCCTTCATTATAACCACACTCAACCTCTATTCAAATTGGACGAAGAATGATGGAAAAGTTCTTTACCTGTAGAGATTGTTCTAAAATTACAAGAATTGTCATTGCATGCGGCTTCTGACAGACAAAGGTTGTAGCTTAGTTTGCAAGCTGCGCCATAGCAGAATGAGATTTGTTAGAAATAAACTGTACCAGAAATTCGTGAGAATCCTCGTTGGCTACAGGGTTTTGATCAGTCTCATAAGTTAGTATGACAGGTTTGCAGCACTCCAGGTTGTGATGATGTTGTGTTATGATTGTTGAATACGCTTGAATATATCCCGAGTGTACCACCATCCTTCATGTGCTTCTGCTCTGTAGCACTTAAACCAGTTTCACACTAGTCAGAGGAAGGATTCACATTTAGAATTGCTACTCTTAGGATCGCTCTATGCCACAGTCTGCAGGCCGACATTGTTTTTAGCTCGCAAAATGGCTAGGTTCGCCATCGTGTCTACCTTCCAGGAAATCCGAGGGACCTTCAAAATCACTAAAAATGAGAATTGGGTGAAAGCAAGTATTCGGACAATATTGATTCGTACAACTTCTCTTAATCGGAGAATAGTACGAAACTTGCAGGCAGATGTTTCCGGTCGCAATCGACATTGCTCTGAAACGGAGAGTGAGAGCACCACCTCCCTCTCGTTCCCAGATTTTCTAGAAGTTGTCATCTCCAGAATTTTCTGAAGAAAAATCAACAGTGAAGTCGGAAAGTTGAAGAGAGGCTCCAGTTTTGTTCTCCAAGCTGCCACTCTAGAATCGTCTAGAGACAAAATCAGTTAAAGGCAGCTGTTATGTAATGACTTGTCTAGAAAATACTTAGAAAAGTATGGAGACTTCCTCCACCGACTTTTATCACCCTATAAATAACAGCAAGTGCTCCTTGTGCGTGTGTAGAAAAGCAAGAGTGAGGCAAACACTTGGTGAGACCATTGTGTGAGAGTAAGTCTCCAAGCGTTGAAAAGGAGTTTTACTCACAGAGAGAACGTATAGAGCCTCGACCGCTTTGGTGTTCCATTTCCTTAACTCGCCATCGTTCGCGGGTGGTGTGGTGTTGTCACCGCCAATGATATCCATAAGTCTTGAGTCAACAATTAAATTTGCATGCGGCTACTCCAATTATTATAATTGGCGTACTCCGGTCCTTGACCACCTGCTCATGTACAATGGTCCTAGACAGTAGCATTAGCAGCTACAACACCACACCACCCGCGAACGATGGCGAGTTAAGGAAATGGAACACCAAAGCGGTCGAGGCTCTATATGTTATTGATGTGGCCGTTGAAGATGAGTTGTTATGGCCCATCAAGAGTGCAAAGACCCCAAAGGAGGCATGGGGTAACTTGGCGGCACTATTCGCAAGGACGAACGATGCAAAGTTGCAAAGGTTGGAAAACAAGTTATTGTCGGTATCGCAACAAAATTTGGCAATGAGTCAATACTCAAGTACAATGGTCCCTGACCACTGTCTTCACGTACCACGCTTCGGATTGCTGGGTTGTCAATCCCCGATCTCTTGTTCTAATACCACTTGTTGGACTCAAGTGTTTCCAAATAAACACTCTCTTCTATTCCCTTTCAGGATGTTACGAGTTTAAAGCAACTTAATGACAAGAAAGGTGCCGGTAGATTAGATGAGGTTCTTCGAGCACCTTATAGTTTTTAAATGGCATTCTGCTCCTTGATTACCCGCCAATATCATGTGCTCCTACATTCTTAGGGTAAAGAGCCAACTGAAGCGGTTCGCTCGGGCAATGTACTCTAATCCTCCCGCCCATGGGGCTAAGATCGTCGCGACCATCATCGGCAATCCGGCTCTATTGAATGAATTGAAGGCAGAAAGGGAAATGATAGCTGGAAGGATCAAGAATGTGAGACGAGTCATATGACAGCCTCTCTGCCAAGAACAAGAGCGGGAAGGACTGGTCATTCATACTCTAGTACATTGGCTTGTTCTCGTTTACAGGCTTGAGCAAAACTCAGGTAATAATTGTTCTCATCTGCTGCATATCTCGAAACGAATCATGTCGTCCTTCCTTGTCTTTATGGGACCCTTATAGTAATGGCCAAAGGGGACCGCTCACGCTGTCGCCCCTCTCCACCCTTTTACTTTGAAAACAAAGGCAAAGCTCCTTGTGTCATCCTCCGTGCTGTCGTCCTCTTCATAGTTTATCTTTCCTCAGAGCGAGAACATGACAAACAAGCGGCATGTGCACATGACAAAGGACGGAAGGATCTCCGTGGCTAGATTATCTTTGGCCAAGTGCGAGTTTTTTGCAGATGCCACCGCCGATTCTTATCACAACGTCGGCCAAGACTCGGAGACAAGGATGAGGTATTTGTATTAGGAACCTTCCAAAGTTTTGGTCAGTCCAATATTGTCATGGAAGAGGAAGTTTCTTCAGCAACCCTGCGAAAAATTGTACTTTAAGTTTCAATTTTCGATGGGGATTAAACCCCTGGTTCTCTGAAAGAGGAAGATTAGTGAAAATTTTGAGTTCGTGACAATGTTATATATTAATTTGAGTTGCAGTTCAGTTGTTGCCTCTTATTTACTTGGTAGATGACCAAAATTGTCAAATGAGACCGGGCAAAAAGTCCAAATGCTTTTCGCCAAATGACGCTTTCTTAAGTACAACTGCTTTTACGCTGATGATACAAGGACATGCACCTCATAAGCGCTTCGATATGCGAATGATAGCAACAAGATCTGCTGCTCTCTCTTCCATCAGGGAAACTGCGCTTGAAGATGAGCTCTGAAGTGTCGACTGTGCTGGCAAAATTCTGCTACTGGATATTGATGGAATGGGTTGTACTCTTGACACAGCCTGAATCTCCACAGTAAATAGTAGGTTGGTACTGCTTGTAATTCCCTCGTCCTGGAATGGCATGGAACTGTTAGTCGAAGATTCGATGGAGTCGGACGTGTCAGAAACCCTCGCTCACCTCTTTTAGTCACCACCACATCAATAGTAAACCCGTCTTAATGTCGACCCTGTGCTTTCAACCGTCCCCTTTTTCGACTATCATCCGGACATGCCAAGACCAAAGTTGTTAATAGTTACTACAGCTAATGTGCTTATGAGTGAACCCCATTTGCACACAATGGTTATCACCAATGGTGGAATTCTGGATCCATGAAGGAAAAGGACAGAGTAAGCGTCAAATTACATATGAGCTCTTGCAACAACAGAAAGTAGAGAATACTGCCGATGACTCTATTTGCTCCCAAAAGCTTCATGATTCGAATCTTTCCTGGACGTAATCATCAAAATGAGGAGAAGAAGAGCAAGCAGTTAACTGAATGTACCTAATCTATAGTCACCTAAACCAAGAACTATTGTTCGACTGACTAAGACTTTCTTCTGTACAGCTGCATCTCATTGATGATGTTAGAACATGCACCTCTTTCTCTTCTATCAAGCCAATTCTCTTTGAATATAAGCTATATCGCCTATTATTATCTATATGCAGAAACTCTCTTGAAGATCTCAACTTTAGTGGTACCTTCTTGAGACCACCCACATCTCCGAAATTATTATATGATCAGTAGGCGCTGATCACTAGGTCTTCAGTGTTCCCCCGAGCTCAACGGGTACAAGTGGAATGAGAGAGTGCAGTACATCCGTTATCAGTGGCCGGTAGATCGGTTCTGGCTGCAGACACAAAACAGCAACAGCAGCTGCCTACAAATATATTAAAACCCAGGTTTTTGTAAATCCAAAAAGATGATACTTAGCACATGGTTTGGCACAGAAATGGTCAAGTTCCATTTAAAGCATGAAAGAGAGTTTATCATCCTAACCTATTGACCGTAGATTTCATGATTAATTAACAAAAAAAAAGCTGAATTACCGCAACCTAATTCATCTTCTGTCCATCAACACTAACAACCTTCGACAGAGGAATTGGTTTGGAAAACCAGACAACAAATTGGAATGAAAGAAGTTAATTTAGGAACCTGGTACAAGTGCTTGATGTCCATCATATCTTTAATTACAGGATCCACGATATCTGGAAGCTTAGATCGGTCGGTCAGCTGAGGCATGGCCTGTGCATGTTGAGATAAGATAACACATTCAACTGTCAAAATTTAATTCCTTACAAGCATGAAAGAATCTATCAGACTTTATGGCACTAGCCATACCCATGCAACAATAGATTGGCACTGAGTGGGTGCTAGTTTCTCAAGAGGCCTTCTTCTCAGGAGGAGCTCCAAAAGCACAACTCCAAAAGCATAGACATCGCTCTTATCAGTCAATATACCTGCATAAAGGTAGTTGAAGTTCAGTAAATTTTCCAGAAGGAAACGATAAACAAATTAACTCAGGTTGAAAAACAAGGATCTTATTATCAAGTTATTCGGATAATAACTTCATTCTACATGTTGAATTAAATGGGAAGATGCGCCGGAAGAACTATATGCACATTCACTGGCATTAAAGCTTAACTCCACATGTAATTGGCCCAACGCGTTATGCCGAGACAAGTAAAAGTGTGTCCTCTGATTTTTACATAAATGAGAGACATTTTAATGATGTTACATTCAATCCGGGTGTCAAACGCATGGTGACTCTTTCAAGGAACTCTTTCCATATTTGGTTTTAATGACAATCAACCGAAGTACTACAATGCTCAAAATTGGAGATATTAAGTAGCTCTTTCCAGCTGAAAATGCATGCACAAGATGGTTCTGGCCAACGGAGATCACAATTATGCCAAGCAAAACTTTCCTCAACTCAATGTCTACCATTTTCCACCTTGCAATCCCCATGAAAGCTCAAAACTGAAAGTTACTGTCAAAACCATGTATCAAACAGACACCACAAAGTCATCAATACATTAGTCATGGATATTGTTGCCTCACCGTCCAAGACATATTCTGGGGCTACATAACCCAAAGTGCCCGAAAGCTTTACCCTGTTTTTCTTCCGGGTCACCTCGGTCACAGCTAACCCAAAATCTGCAAGCTGAGAGAGAGAGAGAATTTTAATAGAATGTGCGTACATATGTTAATACGGTGAAAATTCAAAACAGAGATTTGAAATATTATGCCAAGTCTAGTTGTGAAATTTACCTTGGCATTGAAGTCAGCATCTAGAAGTATGTTAGCAGACTTCAGATCTCTGTGGAAGACTGGCGGATTGCAATGCTTATGCAGATACTCTAAGCCTCTGGTCAACACACCCCAAATTTCACTACATATACCATTTGATGTAAATAATGAACTTGAAAATATGAGTGACCCTAGAGTCTCACCTAGCCATGTCAAGAGCTATTTTCATCCGTTTATGCCATGTCAATGCTGATCCATTTGAAGACCCTTATGGAAATCATAAGAACAAAGAAGAATTGATTCCAACATTAAAAACCACACTCAACCTCTATTCTAATTGAAAGAAGAATGATAGAAAAGTTCTTTACCATACAATTGAGTCTCCAAAGAACCATTTTGCATTAATTCGTAAACGATAAACCTCGCCTCACCATGGATACAATAACCCAGTAGCGAGATGATATTTGGGTGCTGCATTTTACTTAAGAATCCCACCTCACTCTGCAATCACGAGAAGCCTCCTAATGTAATACCAAAAACGCAAGACAAACTTCTGATGATTAAAAAGGAGAATAACAAGACGGTTTTTTCTAATATTTTACCTCATATACTTTAGAGGCATCTTGGCTGCCACAGTCAAGCTTCTTGACAGCAATATTCATGTCATCATCTAACTTCCCCTTGTAAACACAGCCAAATGCGCCTTGCCCCAATATGTTGTTCTCCTTAAAACCATTTGTCGCCTTTTCCAACATCTTGAGGTCCATCACTAGAATAGAAACGTTCCTGTTAACCATCTTCAAGGAACTGAATCTATCCATAAAGGAAGTCACTGACAGCCCCATCTGCGTTTCCTCAGAATCTAACCACCACCAATGTACAATAACCCAAAGTAAGCAACCCGTAGTGCTCTAGTCCATAACCATGCTAGTAATTTGAATATGTTCAAACAGACGACCAACATTTTTTTTCGTCCAAAGACTATCAATATTCGAAAGTACCTAAAACTGGATACTAGCAAAAAATGAATACCTGAGCTCTGAGTACCATCTCTTTGTGCTCTGCGCTTCCGCTTGCTGCGAAAACTCCACCAACATACAGAAAAGAGCACACTTGCGCCCAGCGAAGAGCAAGCAACAATGAGTGCTATAAGTGACTTCTTTTGTGAGTCCATTTGGCACTTCGCACCTACAAACCAAAGTCCTTGACTGCGTGAGAATTGTAAATTTGTAGACATTAGAAGCACAGAAATGAATCAGTTCATTTGGCTTTGATATATCCAAGCAGTATGTTTGAAGAAACCAGAAGAAGATGCAATTTTTGGTCAAACAAAATGGAAGTCTCTACATATTTCATCGACAGAAGTAGAAGCAAAATTTGCCGACAAACTAACTGATTGAATGAATAATTTCGGCAATCTAAGATGACATTGGAGATTCTTCAACAAGCAAAAATTTTGAGGGAGACAAGGGCCACAAGGCTGACTTTGGACACTCGCCTGGAGAGAAACGGGACAAATAGGAGATAAAAACAGGAGAAGGAATGAAGGATTGAGGAAGGAAAATCAAAGCATCAGTCCAAATGGGTACGTGAAAAGGAAGCTGAAACTTCGTTCTTTCTTTTCTGTTCCTTTATAGGAACACACGAGGATGGAGGCATCTGAGAAATCAGAACCCCAGAAAGAGCAAAGCTCTGGTAGCTGTAGGTTGTGGAAACTTTCTTCTTTTTCCTAAAGCCCCTGCTTTTGTTCCTTAAATGAACAGAAAAAGGGATGCAAAAGTCGAGAAGATTTGAGGAAAGCAAAATCTTGCCGGGTTCGAGGGGTGACTTCTCTGCAACACAATCATGTGAGCAGTCAACGAGCAGCACCCAGAGTCTAATACCCACCAAGGAAAAAGCTGTTGTGGAGCAGATGGAATGTAAAGACACAGAGAATTTGTTTGGACAGTTTCGGGAATTCGGTTTGGCTGACCCAATACCCAATGGAAGAGGTAGCTTAAAGCCTCTCCTTTCACAAAGAAAGAAAAAGTAAAAATCTCTTCACCCAAACCAAAAAAGAAAAGAATATTCTTTTATCAAACCTGTGGAAAGTCTTGATTTTTACAAACATGTATCATACAGAAATATGGGGAAAAAGTATAAATTTTTCAATATTGGAAGTTACGCGAAACATCATTGTCTTTTCTTTAAGATAATCATGTGGACTTTCATCATCTCTTCGTTTGTTTATGTCTTGCATTGCTGATGTGATGTTCCCATACATTTGAATAAATCCTACTTCGGCTTATTCAGCCCAGGGTCCAACACCATCTGTCCTCATCCCTTCTTTTCATACCAAAAGGCTGCAGAACCCACATGAATTCTTAGACCGGAATCACCTGTTTAATCCATCTTGGAAGCTCAATTTACTTCAAATGAACGCATAGTCTCTGCATGCCCCAAGAAAGCCCTTCATGCGCCAATCGCCGACAATCAATGCCGACCCGTTTATCCATGAGATTGGCAGATGCACGATAGGAACTTTTGGGGTTAGTTGAACAGCATGCATCAGATGAATTCTTTTATCAAAGTGAGATTGATGCTTTGAATGAGAATGCTCTCCTACCAAACATTATTAGAATAATCGAAATGGGATGGTTTTACCAACTCTTGATCCCGAGAAACTTGTCATTTCCCTCTTTTTAAAGTTTAAGTTGAACATGCAAAGTACAACCACTCTCGACCCTATCACTATAGTTCTGTGAACCAGAACCACCAATCTGGATAGTGAAACTCAGACCATATGGGCAAAAGTAGCAGTGGAGGGGCCCCTCTTGTCTTGGTAGGTCATAAATGCTTGCGGGAATATAGATGTAGCAAAGCTAGATAGGAAGTTAGGTCATCGAATCAATGAACCAAAGATAGAATAAACCAGGTTGATGTCCAAAGTACAGATTTATCATGCAGAAATATTGCTGGTCACATCCGAGTGTCGGGCAGACAGCTCGAGGTAAGCCGGTCGCCTCAATGTCGAGTTATGACGTGAGATTCAAGGAGGACTCACGAGGAACCGAACTCTCTGAAACGTTATGTCATGTTTCAATCAGAGAACATCATCGACGCCGGGCCCGGTCATCGACTAGGTGGACTCGGCTCGAGATCGATTGAGCCGAAGCAGGCTTTTATGACAAAATGTCCAGGTTCAGGGTCAAGTCGGGTCAGGTTTGGGTCGTCCAAAAGCCGAAGGTGGCACCAGAGAACAGAGAGAAGAACCATGGTTCAGCTCATCTTAAGCTTTTAACCTCTCTGGTTCATGGCGATGTCGGCAAAGTGGGCCCTTCACTGATACTAATCTCTCCCTCATCCAGCCCGTGAGGCCCGACATGCAGTGTCGTGGGCCCACTAATTCCTCTAACTTGGGCTTCAAATTCAAAGTCAACTTTGTCCGACCCGAAATTCCATTCTTGACCATTATTAGGAAGGGGAGGAAACATCCTAGTCCTACCATCACATCGCACCGTTGAAAAAATTGAATTTGGGACAAGACCATGCTTAGCCGAAATTAATCTGAATTCATGTTCTTGACCCCCAAAAAACAATTGAATTAAGGATAAATTCAATTGTGTGTCGAATTATTAGTGGAGAAGAAAAGAGATTTTCTCCTTATTCTCGAGGTAAATGTCAATGTCACTTGCACTCATTAGGGCAAGCGAACCAAATACACAGAATGTCTTTGTTAGGACGATAAGAATGTTGGGTGCACCTAACTTGACCATACGATCTGCTAAGCAAACATTCTTTGCCACGCCCCAAATGAGGAAAGAACCTTTCGATAGTTGTAAATTAAGTAGCCAAGAGACAAACGTATACACATCATGAACCAAACACAAAAACAACATGAGTTCGATTTTTCGTATCTATATTTATACTAATCAAAGTGGCTAGAGATTGGTGTGCCGCATATCCACTAATTAGAAAGACGATAAATCACCCACAAAAATCGTTGCCCCCGCTTATACATTATCAATTCATAAGATGGTGATCATTCATAATTTTGTATTAGGTTCGTCGCAACACGTTACGACTAGATCTGATCATGGGCCTAGCGGCTCAAGGCCTTGCCCACCAAAATTGGCAGGCTTGGCCGAGGATCAAGTCGAGCTATTGCCATTGCATTGTAACTACCAATGATCTTCGGATAACATTGCACGTGCGCTTAGCGCGTGCTCAAGAACTATTTTATAATAGGCGCACATCAACATTTGACTACTCAAATCAACTATCCAAGCTTCTGTCGGTTCCTGGCTGTCAAAAACTAACCCAATATAAGGGGGTGCGTTTATTTCGTTCGAAACTAATGATTTGAAAAATATTTTCTTAAAAATAATTAACCGTATCACTTACAAAAGTAAATGAATGATAAATATTATTCATCGTCCATCAAAAGATTTAGGTATAAATTATTATTGATATAAATATATTTTTATCGACTAATTATCTCAACAAACACAAATGAAGAGGGGAATGTTCATCGGATGATTCGTTTTTGGTGCCACTTTTGCAATTAGATCTTTGTCCTCAAGAGGGGCAAAAAAGGGAAAATAGAAGTGACTTCTTTTTCTAGAGAAAATCGTGGGCCAATCAAAGACGAAGTCGTGGTGAGCTTTGCCTTCCTCAGCGGCGATGCCGTGCATGATAAGCGATGCACCCGATCACAGCTCATCCCGGATGGCGGTTCCCAATCCCAATCCCAAGCCGCCGCCCCCCGCGACAAAGTCGGTCGGCCAGCCCGAGCCGCGGCGCGACACGTGTCTCCAATCACGCCCCGCCAACCGTCCACCTCCCACGGGGGCCAACCGCCTTTCCCTCTGTTTTTACCATACCGCCCCTCCCCTTTCGAGGGCATCCGGCGCGGCATTTTCGTAATTACGGTGAGAACTGAGGGGCAATCAGTTAAAGGCTGGAGGGGTAGGGGAAAGAGATCATCACGCCACGACAGGGAGGGCCGTCGGTCACGCGTCGTGGGTGGCGGGGTCGCTCCGTCCGCGGCGCTTTTCTTCAAGAGGGGGGTGAGCGACCTAACCTCTAGGCGCCACGCGCCTTCCTCGTCGCTTCTCCGCAACACGCGCCGTCGCCGTTGACCGTTGACCCTCCCATTTCCCCACCATAGGCCTCTTTTCTTTGGAGGTCGGATGATCCGATTCAGGGGAAGCGAGATCGACGGTATCTTCGATGAATCGCCAACAACAAAATTGCTAATTCGAAAGTAGAGATTCTCCATATCCCGTCATTATATCGCGATTCATAAAATCCTCTCTCGTGATAAATTTTAAAAGAACATCGTTAAAGATAATTAATAATGATCGATTCTTCTTATTATTTATTGATTTTTTTTGGGGCCCGCCTGTCGAATTACATATAAACTTGCTAGCTCGTCGCAACACGGACAAAATGGTCCCTCTCCTTGCAATTTTCCTTCGGTCAACATTTCATCATTCCCTTCGGGCCAACACGAGGTCAAAGGAGGATTGCATGAATTCCACATTTTAAAAGAACATTAGGCGTATGGACCCAATTAAAAAAAGAAACGAAGAACATTAGGCGAGTGACAACCACGTCATTTGACTCGAGGCTGTTCCTCGAACCTCCTCGCCTTTGCCTCCCGCGACAAGCTACCAAATCCTCTTTTGATGTCTTTTTCCAAAGCAGACAAAAAGAAAAAAAGATAAATCTTTTTTTCATTTCTCTCCCCCTTCTCTCTCTCTTTCAAGAACAAAGCGAACGCTCTTTCTTCGTCTTCCCCAATGCTATAAAACCGCCCTCGCCACCGTCCCTCCAGATCCCATCTGAGTAAGTTTATCGACTGTTTCGCCTCCATCTGTCAGCCCACGTCAAAAGTCTTGCTCCTCTCTTCAGCAAAGATCGTAGCTTTTCTCGCGCTTTTGAACCATTCTCTTTCGTGTTCTTGTTGTTGATTTCCATAGGAATACCGAGATGGGTGTTGCTGTTTTACATCCCCAGAGCCACCGCTTCGTAGCCGACCCTCTGTTTCCCAGAAAGCACGGGCGTGGCCTGTCGCAACCTGCTGCGAGGCCGCCGCCGGGGGCCAAGACCAAGCCCAGCTCTAACCGCGCCCATCATAACCGCCGGAGGAGGAGCCCCACCAAGTCCGTGGCAGCCTCCTCGCCGCCGACTCCCGCGCCGCCGGCGAAGGGCCTCGCCATGGGTCGAGTCAGGATCCTGAAGCGCGGCGAAGAGATTGCCTCGCCGCCGCCGCCGCCGCCGGCTTTGGAGTCGAAAGTCGAAACCGAAGCTGCAAGAACCGAGGAAGGCGCGGGTGGTGCGAGCCCAGCTCGCGAATTGGCCCAAGCTCGGACCCAGAAGGCTGAGCCGTGCCGAGTCAGTGCCGGTGGCGGGCCCGACCGAGTCCTGGCCGGGTTCTACGCCGGGTCGGCGTTCATCACGTCGCCGCCGCCGAGTTCGGTTCCGATGCCGGCGTTTTTGCAAAGAAGACCGGTGGTCTGGAGGGATTTGTCGACGCGACGAGTGATCTGAGGCGGCTTCTGCGGCTGGATTAGCGGATCACAGTAAATTAAGCGTGTTCTGGATGGCTTTTTTCATGCGAAAGTTTGGAACTTGATGGTGTTTCCAAGTTATGCGACTCTCGATCTCCCCTTATTTTTTCAAGGGGGAGTCCGGCCGAGGTCGCGGCTCAGTTCAGGCGTTTGTTGTTGCGGTGACTGGTGACTTGCTACCGACTCTCTTTAAGGTTATGTAGTTAGGCTCTAATTGTCTGTACAGCTTCGTCGAAAAGACCAGCTTTTTCCTCACTTGGGTAGGTTTCATCAGCGTCTTCTTCTTGTTGGGTCGATCAAGCTTGTAGCTGAATTTAGGTCGGCATTTAGCTCTGATACTGCAACGTTTGTTTCCATTTCTTTCTCTGTTTTTCTGTTTGTTGGGTTGGGAAGATCATAGCTTTGGATTGTGTCGAAGGTCCAGTTTCGAGTTCTTGTTTAATGTATAGCTTCTGCACCACGTCTGTGATGTAGCTCTGCGGTATCACATCTTCAATGAAGTTACATAGCGTCTTTTCATTTGTCAAAAGTTCAGAGCTTTGAACATTTCTCTTGCGTTTGTGGACGCAAGCCTGCATCAAAAATGGTCCGGTCTTTGATCTCGTTCTGGATCTCTTGCACAGTTCATCAAAGGCGGCAACTGGTTGGAGTTCTGATGCGCGTGCGTGCTGAGGTGCGATGGTGGGGAAGGAGAATTTTGATGGACTGCATCTCCAAACCCAACAGAAAACCGGGATGAGCATTTAATAGGATCTTTGATTGGGAAATTTGTCCTTTTTCAATTCGGAGCTGCATCGGATCTTTCGAATTTTGGCTAGAAGATGATTCTCACGTATTTAACAAGATCTTTACCAAAGATGAGGCAGGAGAAAATCGAGCAGGTTGAATTACAAAAGAAGATTGCCATGAGATTAGGTCAAGTTCATGAGAGAACGTGATCTTATCTAAAGAGGGTAGGTTTTTAAATTGCTGCCCAGAAGACGAGAGGGTGTTTGGTTTTTGTTTATGAATTACTACATAGGTCGATGATCCCGGGTTAGTCCTGGATCGATTGTTAAGATGGATCGGCCGTGGTTCGGGGGCTATCGGTAACGATCGAGAACGATTCGAGGGAGCGAGTGCCGTGATGATCAAAGTGATTGGCGATAGAATGATTATAAGTTGTTAAATTCAAGAAAATCCATATGAAACAAATGTGATCTGATGGCTTGCGTTAATGGAGTGTATGTTATAATCAATCGATCAATGGTCACCTCTACTTGTGAGAAAGAGTTCGATCCGACAACCCAAGTTATAGCGAAGCCTCAAACTGACCTCATCGTAAAAAATTCATTTCAACGACACTTCAACGGCACTTCTACGTTATAAGATTAGGGAAAATGACATAAACAGTCCCTGTATTTGGCTCAATGTATAATGTGGTGTATAAACTATTAATTTGTTCAATGTAGTCCCTAAACTTGTACTCGATGTGTAATGTGTAATGTGATCATTGAACTTTTAATTTGTTTAATGTTGTCCATGAAATTTTGTTACATATTCAATTTAGTCCTTGAACTATATGAAAATGTTCAAAATGACTACACTAAACATTTTCATGAAAGGACTGTATTAAACATTTTCATATAGTTCAGAGACAATATTGAATATGTACCAAAAGTCCAGAGACCACATTAAACAAATTAAAAGTTTATGAACCACATTGAATATTTTCAGAGACCATTATTAAACAAATTAAAAATTTATAAACCACATTGAACATTTTCAAAGATCACATTAAACAAATTAAAAGTCCAGATACTACATTAATGTTCAATGTAGTCATTTTGAATATGAAAGGATTAAATTAAACATATATCAAAAGTCCATGGACCATATTAAGCAAATTAAAAGTTCATAAATCAAATTGAATGTTAAACTAAAGTTCAGGGACCACATTAAATAAATTGAAAATTCGATGATCATATTACACATCGAGTCAAAGTTTAGAAACTGTCTGTGTCATTATCTCTAAGATTAAACCACATGCATTAGCCTTCAGCTGTTGGATGGGCACTTCCTCGACAAGAAAAGTCAACTAGTTAGCGAATATGTATTAAATGGAGACCAAATGCTGAACGGCGTGCATCGTTTGCTGAAAACAGAAGGCAAATGTTGCATGTCACGGCCCCACCACCAACGACGGTCCAAACCGATATTCGAAGAGGGACATATCATATCAATAAATATCACAAAAGGGTGAATAAAAAAAAAGTGCCGCCGGACGTCACCCACAATGCCATTTCTCACCCACCTTATTGTAATAAGGATGGTGGATTGTAGGAGAGTGCGTCCGGACAAGTTGATCCTTAAGACCGATCCGAACCGGGCCTGTCTATTCCCTATTTCAAATGATTTAAACGTTCTCGATAGGTTCGAAGTCCCGGGATAGGGATGAAAACCGGTGTTAAACCGGTTATCCATTCTAACCTTAAGTTTAATTCTCTCTATTAATTTGACAATCTCGCTTTGCTTCTTTCTCTCTCTGTTCGATTCCACTCCGACGACTTTAGTCACTATAACATTTGATTCGGCATCTCCGCTCCCTCCAACACTCATCGGTTGCTCACCAATTGCCACTCCAACATCTTGACTCCGCTCTGATCCGAGGTACTATCCAACTTTTCTCTGCACCCTATTTTGCATTTCGTCCAACGAAGGACCAATCGCTCAATCCCGATTTTACCCTGAATCTGACAGGTTCGATCCTACACTCGTTCCAGAATCTATAAGGCCGGTTCCGGATTTTGAAATAAGATTCAAGGTTTGGAACATGGAACAGATCGTCCCTAGTGGATCATAATACATCAAATAAGCGTACGGAGTTGTAATAAAATCCAAAACATCTATACGGCTTTATTGAAAAAAAAAAAACATCACATAGAACTTCATATGGTTCGGGTGGCGGTTAACTGATATTCAAATTAGACTAATTATATTTGCTATGATACTATTATTTGCGATAATGCAAAAAATTATTTACATAATTATATTATTAATTCTATATTACTTTTTTTTATTTACTCATTCGTACAGGGGACAGACTTGGCTTTAAAGGAGTGGGGCTCTTGCCTCCAGTCATTTTGTCAAAAATTGGGCATATTTTTTTAACTGCTTCTAAATTCCTTTTGGCCTAAAAAACAACTCTTCGGCTCATTAAATTACTAAAAGATATACAGCTACCTCAAATATAAATATTTTCATTTTTTTGAACCAATAAATATTTTCATTTTAATTTCCCAGAAATTGATAAGAAAAAATAATTCAATAATCTTGAAAACATAGTTGTAGACAAACAAAACCTATATAATATAAAACTCTATAATATTTTCAAACGTACGAACGATATATTAATTATTAAAACTACCAATCAATCGAATTTTGTCCTTGCAAAGAGAAATTTCTAGATACGTCACTGCATTTATGTGTTTTCTAAGGTTTGAGTGGGTATCAAATTCCTATCTATATAATCGAGAATCAATTACAATTTCCTCTCAAAATTGGCATAGGTTTATGTTTTACTTAGAGATTATTAGGGTTTAGGATGCCATCCGTTACTGTTTCCTGCACGATCTGAAAATGCCAAGAAAAACAAAATGAAAAGAGAAATGCCAATCTTTCAAATAATGTCTCTTTTGAATTTGACAAGTTAAAACCGATACGATGTTGAAAAGGGAAAAACCCGAGGTCACCACAGGTTATCATTTGTATATACCAAGCTTTAAGAACAAGGATTCTACAAGGACCCCACGAGCACTTATTAATCGACCAACTGAGGAAATTCTATCGATTTCTACGGACAATCGATGCATTAAAAATCGAGTTATTTCAAATAAAGTATATTAAGGACACTTGTCAATATAATACCAAGGAAAGATAATCTAAGATATAATTTGGCAGAACCTTTTAATGGTTTCTCGATTTGCAATAACACCAATCGATCGTTTAGTTTTAACTTTTGACTGGAAAGCAAAATATATATACATATTAGTTTTTTCATGTAGCTAAGCCAAAACAAACAAGCTCCTCTTAATTTTAGTGGGAACTGGCGACGGATTAGACTCGATTTGAAAAAAATACTGCAAGGTTTAACGATCTAGTCGCACGAAAGCGCTAAAATTCGAGGACCCCGTCAGAAAAAAAAAAGGAAAAAGAAAAAACTGTGTCAGTTTCGCACTTTAGAAACCCCAAAAACGGAAAGAAAGAAAGAAAAAAACGAATAAAATAAAAATCCAGACGAAGAAAAGGCATGAAAAATAAAATAAAAAGGGAATTAGAAAAAAAAAATAAGGAAATGAAAAAAAAAGGGGGCCAATATATGAGAATGAGAAGCGGCTCCTCCGTTGGCCCTTAACCCATCCCCCTCTCTCTCTCTCTCTCTTCTCACGCATTTCCTCCTCCACATCCTCCTCCTCCTCCTCCTCTGAACACAAAGCCGCACAGACACAGAAGAGACGACGCTCCATCACTTCACCTCCACGCTAGCCCCCGCCCCTCTCGCCGTTCGGTTTTCCGGCGAGCATCTGGGTAATTGGGTTCTTGGTGGCCGGCGGCGGCGGCGGCGACGGCGATGGCGGCGCAGGACGGGTGGGTGAGGACGGCGATGGCGGAGGACGGGATGGTCGCGGAGCTCCTGATGCGCCTCAGGCAGGAGCAGCCCCGCCGCCACGCCGCATGCGCTTCCCCCTCCTCCTCGGCGGCGGCGGCGGCGGCGGCGGCCCTCCTCCTGCCGCCGCCGGGGTGGGGGATCCGGCAGCCGCGGTCGAGGATTGCGTTCCGGTGCGACGCCTCGTCGCCGGGGAAGAGGTGCGGCGACTCGGCGAGGAACAGCCCCACGACCCCGCTCTCGTGGAGCGCCGGGACCGCCTCCTCCTCCGGCACCGCCGACGGGTTGGACGACTCCAGCTTGCTGGTCTGCGGCTCCTCCGCCTCCACATCTAAGGTAATCTCTCTCTGTCTCTCTCTCATCTGGCTCGAGCTCGCGGTTCTCCGGCATCTCCAGCTGCGCGGAAAGATGCGCGCGCGTTCTTCGATCGGTCGTAGCTCGATTAGCAGATTCTCAGCGGCTCTGTCTGCATGTCAGATTTGAGTTCCTTCTGAAATCCCTGTGCCCAGGTGCCTTTTTGAGCTCCATCGCCGTTTCAACTCTCTGTCTCTCTCGGTCTCTCTCTCTCTCTCTCTCTCTCTCTTCTGTGACCAACGTCACGTCATTCTCTAACTTCTCGAAATCGAAAGCATCGTCATCTTCTGATGTACTTCAAGATCAACTGTCGCTGTTTCGGTCCCCTCTCTCTCCAGTGTTATATTATGGAAGTGCCATCGCCGGCGCCTGGCGACCGGACCGGCGGCGTACGGCCGCGAGATCGGCGGCCTCCAACCACCCGCGGGCCCGTCGCTTCGTCAAGCACGGGCTGTTCGTCGAAGAGACGCGCGCTTCCCTTTTCCCGTTTCGCTCAACCCGTCCCTCCAACCACCTTGTTTATTTCCACTTTCCCTTCCTCTCTTTCTTCTTCGAAAAGAAATGGAAAAACACGACGAGCTCTCGAGAAAACGCATTCCGTTCCCCCGACGGACCCCGAACGCCGCTGGATCCGGCGGCGGAACGCCCCCCGCCCGCCGCGCCGACGCGGCGACGGTTTCGACCGGCGGGCCAATGGGGTGAGGGAAACTTCCCCCTGACACGATCTGCGGGTCCTCGTTCCCTTTTTTTTGGCTTCTTCCTCCTTCCTGAAAGTACTGCCCCCCCGTCTCTGAATTTCCTTGGGTGATGGCCGGGGGGGTGGGGCATTCACGTCATTCGACGCGACCCGATCCCCCTCGGTGGGGCCCGCCGGGAGAGGAGGGAGGCGGTGGGGCCCGAGGCGCGATGCTTGCTTCGAGTAATGGGGCGGCCATCCTCTGCGCGCGCGCGCCCAGGTCTGCTCTCCGTGCACCCTTCTTCCTCCTCCTCCTCCATGCTCCTTTCTGGTCTTTTGTGGGGGGGTTGTGGAAGATAGGATTCGTTTTCTTCTTTTTTGAGGTGGGTGGGTGCGTGATTATTCTTTTGCCTGCGCGCCGACCCTTTCTCGAGGCGGAAGGGAAGAAGGTACAGAGAGAGAGAGAGAGAGAGTCTTGAAAGGAATGCGAAGTGGGGCTTTGACATTGCCGATCCAGATGGGGGGACCCAGCGGCGGCCACGAATTGGGGGTGTTTTGTGCCTTCGTTCTTTGGTGGTGTTTTCTTTGCTGCCCCTTCTTTAAAAATTGAATTTTGGTTGGGGGGTGCATCTGGGGGAAGAAGAGGAAGTTGACGATGGAGCTTCGTTTTGAAACGACTCTCTCTCTCTGGTCAGAAACGCACGGATGAATCGAGGGGGAAGTTTCTTGAACGTGGGGAGAGAGTTTTTGAAGCGAGAGAAGGAAAGCAGCCTTCGGGGGGGGTGGGGGGGGGGGGGGGGGTGGTGTTTGGAGGAGCGGTGCGTCGTGTTCGGAAGGGAGAAGAAGTCAAAGAAAGTGCGTTCGCGGCTCGTCACGTGAGGCGTGTGGGTCGCGTGCGAGGGGGCGGGCGACACGTGGTTGGGTTGGTCTCCGTCGCTGCTCGTTCGTCCATCGGGTGGGTGGTCCACGTTCGGTTTTTTTCCTATTTGTTGCGGTCTTTGTCGTGCGCGCTCGGGAAGCGAGAACTTCGGTCGAAGGGCTTTTATATAGCCTTGTTCGGTGCGTTTACTCAGGGTCGTGTGCGGTTCTTTCCATCGTTAATGGTCGTGAAGGGAGGACGGCCCGTCGTGTTTATGGGTGGGAACGATTTGAAAGTGATTGCTGAATGAGGCGCTGTTTCTTTTTGGCGTGGTTGTCGGTCTGCGCATTGTGGTTCTCTTCTTCTTTGCATCTCGCGAATTGTTCCAGCGGTCGAGCTTTCTCCTTCATCTTCCGGAAACTAGTTCCGTCGTGTGTTGTCTTTGTCGATATGGGGTCATCGTCTAGTTTCGGCATTGTTTTGAATGATGGAGTGTGATTTCTCCCCCAGATGTTTTGACGCTAATTTGAATTTCTTTCTTTTGGGTTGCAGGGCATTGCTTCGAATGATTCTAGGACGCCCGATATTAAGAAGTCAAGGAAAAGGAAGGTACTTGCGCGTTTTATACCTGCCCCAGTTAACTGCTAAACCGACGTAGATTATTTAAAGCTGAACAGTATTTTGGCTTTTGAATATAAGCTTCTCAAATCAATCATGAATGTTTCTGCCATTTATCAGCGATGAAAGATAGCTGTTAATCTTTTGATTTCTCGTTCTTAGACTTTTGCTGAACTTAAAGAGGAGGAGGACCTGCTTTTGAAGGAGAGGGTACACTTAAAGAAGGTATTGACATTTTCTTTCTTCTGTCGTTCATTTTGATCACATCTCCTTCATTTCTCATCTCTGCTTTCACATTTACTGAGCAGGAGATAGCAACCTTGAGTGCAACTTTCAAAGAGCAGAGAACAAGAAACGAGAGCTTGAAGACAACGAAGGTAAGACCGTATGTCTTCTCGCTTCAAGATCGTTAACTTTTCTTCGTCTTCCCTGATAATTTCTGCTTCAATGAACTAACAAAGTAGAAAGGCGTTGGCAGATGAATTTGTCAGATTAAATGGAATACTGTCGTTAATTTTGTTAATAGACGTTACAATTTGTTCAAATTCATCACTACCGAAAACACGAATGTATACATTAGTTCTAATTGGTCACTCATTTCGCTTGGTTGATCAAAGTGTGTTTACATGTGCGAAATTCCTTCTTGGGAGATCAATTGGAAGTGCTTCGCATAGGAAAGCAATACAATCACATAAACTGGATTTGAAAAGTACATACAACTTCCCTCCTGTATAGGATTCGTTTTACCTAGGTCTTTACCACGTAGTTTCTTCGAAACTGCAGCAGCTCCTACCTTGTTGTTTTACTCTTTTGGCCCTGAGTAGCAGCGAAAGTTTCCTAAGATGGCATTCACTTTGCAGCTTGATGCGGATATGAACTCAACAAAGATCACCATCAGTGCCACCCACGAACCGGAAAAAGCGAATTCTAACGCGCATGGCCGTGAAGCTCCCTCCACTGTAGATCATGCTGCTTCGACATTGCCATGCCCTGGTCAATCCTCAGATTCACATCAAAGATGCGGGTCTCCCGAGAAGCAAAGTACTTCTTTCCTACTGCCGGATCTCAACATGATGCCATCTGAAGAGGATCCTCTCCCTGAGGCGTTAAACGGGGTGAGCAGCGGAGAAACACTCCAGGCATCTGTCAACTGAAGCAAGCAGTCACAATCACACTCGCTTATTTTCGCTGTCCGATTCGTATTTGCCGTTTGATGATGCATTCCAGTAAAGAGGATCTATAATCCAAACAGCCTTCCCTGGATGATCTTGGCAAGAAAAGCAGGGGGATCATAAGTCAACATCGGCACGTAAGGAGATTCCTTGCAGTTGGTGACAGCAGTTGACAAGCAGTGGAGAAGGTTTTTGAGGGTAGTGTTAGCGATTGTAGGCCATCCAATATGCAATGTAGCAGCAGGTAGGCGAAGAAGCTCATTTGGAATTCTTTTCTGGTAATTCCTCGTTACTTCTTTTATTTCTTTTTAACATGTAGGGGTCATTGACTCCATTCTTTCCTCTATGTAAAGAGCCCATGGATTCTGAGAATTACTTAAATATTTTTTCTCTCTTTATTAATTCAAATCTCGTCTTCCCCGTTACCGCCTTTTGTTCGTCTAATCCGATATCGTTTCTCAAAGAAATCGATACCGAACTTTGGCCTTGGCCATGCGTTAAGCGATACGAGATGTTTTTTGGTCGCTTAGGTTGCGCGGTAATTATGCATGCGTTTGATGAATTTGGTGAACTGGCGATGCGTGTTAATTTGATGTCATTTTACAATGGGAAGGCAAACGATTCAAGGATGAACATGGGGCAAGAAGATTCGATGCTCATGGGGACTAAGGGTGCGTTTGGTAACTATTCTGTTTTCGGAAATAATTTCTGCTCATAAATAATTTTTTTTTTATTCTGTTTCCAGAAACAATTTCTAAGCATTTGAAGGCATTTAGTAACGGTTCAAAATTTTCATTCCTGTAATAGAAAAAGAACATAAATGCGTTTGGTAACTGCACAAATTTTTTTTATTAATAATATTTTATTTTTTAAAAAAAAAATTTATATTTTTTTTCTTTTCTTTTTTTTTCCCTCTTCTCCTTCTTGGCCAGCGACCAGCCACAAGCCGGGCCCGGCGAGGACCGCCCTCGCCGAATCGCCTAGGCTGCGAGGGTCCAACCCTCGCCCTCGCCAGCCTTGTCGCCGGCCACAGGCCAAGGAAAGAAGAAGAAGAAGAAGAAGAAGGAAAAGTGTCACGCCCCGGACCCCAACGGGCTCGCGACACCCCTTCAACGGTCGTATTGAACGCGACGTCCCAGGACGCGTCGCCGACCCAAACGAAACACCCAACGATAAAGGCAAGCGGAAGCGAATTTAAAACAACCCAGACAATAAAATATGACAAAGGGATAGCACAAAACAATAATTCCAAATACACAACATCAAAAGGGAATAGTGGTGGGGTATCCTACTTCGCTATACAAAAGAGGGGCACATAAAATATGGGGTAACTTGACCCGTCCTCCATCCCTGAGATACCCTGGTGTCGTCTCCAATCAATCACGGTCGCAGATCTGAAAATGGTTATATAATAACCGTGAGAACGAGTCTCAATAAGTAACCCCCTATACCCCACATAGGCCAATGCGTACCCAGACAAGTCGTACATGCAATCTACCCGATTACATATATATAATTCACATAAATGGACTTACCTCGCCATCCAACCACATGCCCACACTGCACATTAGTCAAATCATAATAATGCAATAATAGTCAATGAACACATCAAAATCATTCGAGCGCCATACACACGTACGTTCATCCAATTCAACCCAAACACATTTCACATGCGCATCCATCCAACTTTCACACGACCCGGTCAACACCCCACGTGTCGCCCTCCGATCAATCCGGCTCGTCCCGGTCAACACCCCACAGGACCTTTCAAAAACAAACTTTCACACGACCCGGTCAACACCCCACAGTCGCCTTCCGATCAATCCGGCTCGTCCCGGTCAACACCCCACAGGACCTTTCACAAACAAACTTTCACACGACCCGGGTCAACACCCCACAGGTCAGCCCTCCGATCAATCCGGGCTCTGTCCCGGGTCAACACCCCACAGGACCTTTCACAAACAAACTTTCACACGACCCGGGTCAACACCCCGCAGGTCAGCCCTCCGATCAATCCGGGCTCTGTCCCGGGTCAACACCCCACAGGACCTTTCACAAACAAACTTTCACACGACCCGGGTCAACACCCCACAGGTCAGCCCTAAGATCAAGCCGGGCTCTTCTCATGCACATGCACCACAATACAAAATTCACTATGCTCTTAGTCATATAAATCAATTTCAATCACCACCCTTTCACCAATGTCAATCTAGCACGCCACATCAGTCAACTCAATTCATGCTCCCCACATCGGTCCACCGACCCGACATTCATGTCGGCACATTCAATTAATTCAATTCACCCACAAGCGCCACAACAATTCAGTCAGGCATATTTATCTCAGTAAATCACTAAATTAGTCACACAATTACCACCACAATAATTCACAAATTGGGCACCCTCAATCTAATTAGCCCACGCCTAAATTAATTCCTAACCCGATACTAATCACATCCTAAACAAGTCTAAAAATACCCAAAGTACTAGGTAGGGTTTAGGAAGTCACTTACTTGGTTTTGGCCCGGAGAAAATCGGCTCGGGCCTAAAATGGCCCGGGTGAACAGTGTCTCACTCGGCACGGGCAAGGGCGCGACGGGCGCGAGGCTCGGCCATGGCGCTCGGCCATGGGCACGACCTCGGCCACGGGCACAAGGCGCGGCACGGGCACGGGCACGGGCGCGGCGGCGGGCACGGGCGTGGGCAACGGGCGCAAGCACGGGCGTGGGCGCGGGCACGGCGGCGGGCACGGGCGTGGGCAACGGGCGCAAGCACGGGCGTGGGCAACGGGCGCAAGCACGGGCGTGGGCGCGGGCACGGGCACGGGCACGGGCAACGATTCGGCCACGGCTTGGGCGACTTGGCCACGGCCGGGAGCGCTCGGCCGACGAGCTCGAGCATGGGCCGGGGCAAGCTCGGCGGCGAGTGGTGGCCGGAACGACGGTCGGACGGCGACGGGGCAAGCCACGGCGGCATGTAGCATCAGTCGGTGGGGGGCGAGCTCGGGCAAGCTGGCCGGCGGCGACATGGCGGCGGCGATGGAGACCGGACGGCGGTGACTCGGCGGCGCCTAGCACGGCGAGAACAAGGAGGGGGCTGCGTCGTCGCCGGAATGGCGGGGCGAAGGTGGCTGAGAAGGGAAACTGGAGCGGCGGTGGCGAGCCGAGGGAGGGCGACGGCGTCCGGGACGGCGGCGCGCAGCGGCGAGGCCGGGTAGGGGCGAGCTCGGGGTGGAAGAAAACGGGGGTAGGAGAAAGAGACCGAGTCGGGACGGAGCGCGTGGGGCGGCGCGGCGGCTAGTAGGGCGGCGTCGGGCGGAGGGCGACCGAGTGGCGGCCGGAGGCGGGGAGGAGGCTGCGGTGGACGGGAGTCGGGGAGGGAGATTGACCGGGTGACGGGCGGCGAGGAACCGCAAGCGTCCGGTCGGGCGGCGCGGCGCGCGCGCGGCGGTTGAGCTAGCGACGCACGGCGCGCGACGGCCAGCGAGCTCGGCGATCGGCGTCGGGCAACAGGAAAAGGAATGTGCGGACGCAGAGGCGGAACAAACGCGGCAAGGGAGAAGAAGAAGAGAAAGGAAGAAGAAGAAGGAGAAGAAAAGGAGAAAGGAAGAGAGAGAGTGTGTTAGGGGTGGGTCCGCATGGGCGTGGGCGAGGGGACGGGACGCATGCGGAGGAGACGTGCGGCGAAGAAAAGAAAGGAGAGAGAGAGAGAGAGAGAGAGAGAAGAGAAACGTGAGCGGGGGAGGGGACGGGCGGCGCGGCAGAGGAGAGAGGAGAGAGAAAGAGAGAGAAAAAGTTAATATTTATCCTCGAGCGCGAACCAACGGACACGGTTCAAACTAAATATCGATTTAACGGTCACGATTCAAATATTAAATGCGATCCGATGACCCAAATTCAAAACCGAAAGCGATCTACCGGTCCAAGATAAGCCTCGCATATAAAAAGGGACAAAGGCCGAATTAATTAAATCAAACTATAGCGAGGGAGGTCTACTAGTCCAAATTCGCACCCGGTCAAAAACTTCCATTTTTCCATTATTCCTGACAATCTCAACGCTGGCTACGATAATATTGACACCGTCCAATTTATTTCGTCCTGAAACTCCCGAAAATCGACTGCCAAGTTTGAGGTCTAAATAACGGCCAAATTCGATCGAATGCGATTCTAGCGAAATCTCAAGATTTAAAAATAATAACCGGGAGTGATCAGTTCCCGGGCGAGATTTTTACTATAAGCGCACTGACGGAATACCCGTTTTATAAATCCCAAAAATGGGCCAAAATTCGGAATGTCACAACTCTTCCCCCCTTACAAAAATTTCGTCCTCGAAATTTACAATCCAACTCAACTATTCAAACAAATGGGGGTATTGGTGTCGCATCAACTCTTCACTTTCCCACGTCGCACTTTCGATTCCATGGTGTTCCCAAATCACTCTGACTATTTCAATTGACTGCTGAACCAACTTGGGACCCGTGATGTTCCTCTCACCCACTCATCCCAACAAACCGGTGTTCTGCAAACCCTGCCATACCATGCCCCAAACGGTGCCATTCTAAAACTCTGCTGATAGCTATTGTTATAGGCAAACTCAACCAAGGGCAATTATTCTTTCCAGCTTCCCCTAAAATCCAATGCACATGGTCGCAGCATATCTTCCAAAGTCTGAATCGTCCTCTCAGACGAGCCATTCGTCTGCGACTAATAGGCCGTGCTAAACTGTAACCTTGTTCCTAATGCCGTATGAAGACTTTTCCAATAAGCGGCAAGAAACTTAGGATCACGGTGCGAAGTGATCGTCACTAGTACTCCATGAAGATGAACTATCTCATTGCACGCACCATCTTGCGTACCTTCCTAACGCGAAGTCCTTTCGCATTGCCAGAAAATGTGCTGATCTTATCAGCCGATCTACTATAACCCAAATTGAATCATGGCCCATTTGGCTTCTTGGTAGTTTCATAACAAAGTCCATCGCGTTATGCTCTCATTTCTATTCGGTGATTTCCAATGACTGCAACAATCCACCCGGCTTACAATGCCGTGCCTTCACTTGTTGGCATGTTAGATACTCGGTCACGTGCTTGGCTACATCTACTTTCATGCCTTTCCACCAATAATGCTGCTGTAAATTCTGACACATTTTTGTACTCCCCGGGTGAATACTGTAATTACTATGGTGAGCTTTTGACAAAATCCCCTCCTTAAGCTCGGCATCACAGGGTACTCTCAACCGTCTACGGAACTTCAGTATTCCATCCTCGAATACCTGAAAATCCAATTTCCTTTTTGTGGCATCCTTACTCAGAATCTTTTGAATCTCTGGGTCCGTCGACTGTAAAGCATTAATCTTAGTTTGGATCTCCGTGGTTCAATCCTCAATACGACAAGTAGACTTGAAAACATGGCTCACTTCAAACTTAAAC